GGTTTTAGGGCGTAGCGTTCAGGGTTTAGAGTTTAGAGTACAATGGCCTAAGTTAAGACATATTTCGCCCTGCCCGGGTCCCACAACAAGCAGGATCATTCTTGCAGGTACAGCAACCCCTAATCAAGATCCTACTGTTTGCTCTAAAACATCTCAACCAGAAGCTCTGAATTCAAGCTGCTATGGAGTTAAACTACGCCCCATCACCCCACCGAACCCGGCGCTGTCAGAGCAGAAGGTGTACGAACGACAATAGGCCTTGGCCACTGCGGAAGGCATAGACGTGCCACTGGCAGTAGACATCCTGCGATCATGCTTCGGGGTGTGGCGTAGCGTGTAGATGACCTGCTTCCACTTCCAACACTACCCTTCCCCTACACTGCACAAACATCCTGAACCTCAAGTATCCGCCTGGCTGTAGAAGGATGAGGTTCCCTCCATCACCGATTTTTCCACTTCCGTGGGCACGAAGACATCATCCAAGATCACCCGCACCTGAGGGATAGCATGGAACGGACCCTGCACCTCACCGAAACAGAAACCTGACAAGAACATGTTTGTGCATGTGTATGTGCATGTATGTATACTGTACATATACAGATGAACATATGTATACACAGACTTTGTGTATGGCCTCCGAATGGATACAGTGTACCAATGTATGTACGCGGCTTGTGTAAATACATATATATATATATAAATATAAATATATATATATATAGATGCTTTGTATGCATCATTCATACATATATATATATACATGTATGTTTTGTATGTATAACAATACGTAAATATGTACATATATGTGATTTGTTGAATGTGTGTATATAGATATATACATGTACACATAAACATACAAATATGAACACATATACATATATATATATAGCGGGAGAGAGAGAGAGAGAGAGAGAGAGAGAGAGAGCGAGAGTGTGTGTGTGTGTGCATGAAAAATATCTGCACATAGATGCCCAAGGGTGGTACAGGTCGGCGAGGGCCCACGATGCCGGGCCGTAGCCTGAGAACCAAGTGCCGAATACCCCGGCAAGCAAAGATCAGGAGGAAGGGGAGAAAAGGACGAAAAAGAGGAGGAGGAGGCGGAGGAGGAGGTGAGGAGGAGGAGAAGGATAAGCACGATAACAGAAACGAAAACAAGGCAGACTAAACATGAAATGTGAGATGATGATGATGATGATGATGCCGATGAAGCCAACGAGGATAGCACGATGATGGAGTATTGTGGCGACGTGATGCTGCTCTGACGATGACAAGAACTACATTCTGGCGCTCCTGGCGGAGACAACCCGAGGATGATTACAGCGAAAATAAAGTTGATGAACGATCTTTGTAGCTGATACTGGATGATGCCCATGACGAGGACAATGGCGACCACGGGAGTTGCCATCATAGCGGTAGTGATCGTGGTGGCGGTGGTGGTGGTGGTGGTGGTGGTGGTGGTGACGGTGGAGGTGGTGATGGTGGTCGCGGCGGCGACAGTGGCGGCAGCACTGGTAGCAGCAGAACTAGTAGTAATAGTGATAGTAGTAGTCGTCGTCGTCGTCGTAGTATAGTACTAGCAATAGTAACGGTAACCGCTACAGTAGTAGCAGTGGTAGTGGCAGTAGTAGTTGTTGTTGCTGTTGTCGCCGTCGTCTCCGCAGCAGAAGCAGCATCAGTAGCACCAGCAGCAGCAGAAGCAGTAGCAGCAGTAGCAGGAGAAAGAGTGGGAGGTGGAGTAGGAGTGGGCGTGGGAATGGGAGTGGTCGTCGTCGTCTTCCTCGTTGTCGTACGCCGCAGAAATACTACCAGTCATCCTACCAGGAGCACAAGCAACAGCAATAAGAGAATCAGTGGCATCATGAATACAGCATAGCGAGTTCATCAAAAATGAATCCACGCCACCACCACTACCACCACCACCACGACAACGAGTGAGTGCGTAAGCTTGTACGTCTACAAGGAGGAGGAGGAGCCTAATGTAGGGCCTTAATAATTAGAATCAGAATAGGGTTTTGGGCCCCTTTACTGTATATCTATAAAAGAGAAACCTAAACAATAGTAGAAAGAATAAAGCAGGCTTCTATTTTGGGAAGACTCAGGAACATCGCCAAGGCGATTCTGCAGACTGAGGCCGAGGGCCCGGAGACGTGAAGCGGCGCAAGGACCTGGCGACACAGGCCCAGAAGACCCAAGAGCACACGGGTTTATCGCTTTGGGGTTTAGGGCCTTAGAGTTTAGGGGTTAGGGTTTAGGAGTGTGGGGCTTAAGAGTCTAGTTGACAGTCAGTCAGGTAAGCGTCGAGTCGGGTATACAATCGCAAAATCCTGAAACGCTAGGCCTGTTTCAAAAGCTAGAACCTTAAACCTTAACACCTCGAAGCTCCAAACAACAAGCACAAGTCGCACCTCGAAGACGGGCAGGTCACCGGAGTCCGGCCGGGCAACCGCACCACTGGCCTAAGTAAAGCATTAGGCAAGTTTGAGGTTTGAGGAATCGGAGTTTGGGAAATGACGGTGCGGCTTTCAGGTTTATAGGGCTTAAAATCAGAATCAAGCGATTACGATTTGTGCTTCGTAACAACTTGCGCTGCAGTGGTTGATACCATGGCAGGCCGTACCCATGAATATTGCGGGCGATACTGATGGCCTTCAGGCAGAGCCGTAAATTGAAAGGAAAGTAACTAACCTTTACCGCCACTCTAAGCCTTAAGCCCCACACTTAACTTCCAATCCTAAGTTCCACAGCCCATACTGCCTACAGTAAGCTCTTCACTAACCAAGAACCTTCAAGCATGCGCCACAGCCTGAGTTGGGGCCCAGGCCTGGAAATGCAGCGCCACCCTGACAGCTGCAAAGTACAGTTGACAAACGTCGGATTTACAAGGTTCTGTGATTCTGGTTTAGGATGGTTTCGGAGTTCCTCGGTCTTTATGGCCCGCAGAATAGGATCCGGGGCTCCACAGCATAAAGCTGTGCAGATGCTGAGGTTGCGGCTGGTAGCGTCCTCCCAGCAATGGAGGATCATCTGGAAGAGGGCAGACGACGAGCGTAGCATTCACGCTGAGTGCTGGGACCTGAGACTTCCGAGGTGGAGCACTAGTATTACTACTACTACTGTTACTGTTATTTTTGCTGCTACTTTTTGTTGGTATTAAGAATATTGTGTTCAGTATTATATTTACTCTTAGACCCTCAAGCCCTAAAGATCCCTAAGCCCAAAACCCTCAATCCCTGACCCATCTCAATTGGCACATGAGGCTGCGGCCGCTGCACGTTCGCGGCCTGTGCAAAGGCCGTACCATTGCCAGAGCTTATTTTAGGGATTAGGAACGCATTGTTATGTGTTTTTGCTTGTTGAAGCTCCTGCACTCTGAACCTCGATGTGTCAAGTCCTATCTTCGGATCCGCCTCTGCTGTCCTCCTCCGCCGGGAAGAAGATGCACCGTGTCCCCGACTCTCGCTTGAAGTTCGCTCCATACACCTCCCGGCCAGGCCAGTCAAAGCTCCCCGACATCCAGAAAGAAGGGCACTGCAGCTTCCTTCACCAGCTTTGAGGACCAGGCATAGATTCGACGGCCCGCTTCCTGGTACATGATCGTCGGCATGACCGCATGGATCTGTGGGGGATCCGTGACCTGCCAGCATCAGAAGCTCTACCAGCTGCTCTTCTCTCATGCGCACACGACATTTAACCCGACCTTAAGGCCCTCTTGCACTTGAGGCCAGCACCAGCAGCATCACGGATGGTGCCGGAAGCGACGGGTCTTTCACCAAAGGCCTCCAGAAACTCGGAGAGCTCTGCTTGGCCTGTGTTGAAGTGCTATCACAGGCAGCCCGGCCTGTCGATCGACAAGCCAAAGAGACCCGAGCCCTCTGCAAAGTCTTCGGCGGTCCTCAGAGCCAAGGAACACCCATCTGCTATGGGCATATAACATTGACAACGCGACTGCATGCTGTATATAAATATATAAATATATAAAAGTAAAAAATATATAAATACATGAAAAAATAAATATATAAATATATAAATGCATAAATATGCAAATATATAAATATATGTATATATATACATCTATAGAACTCCATATAAAATTAAATCTACATGTAAATACAAATATAAATATAAATATACATGAATGTATATATATATTATATATATATATTATATATATGTGTATATATATATATATACACATGCAATCTTATCTGTTTATGCATACATACATACATGCACACATACAAACCTACATCCGTACATTGTATACGCACACACACATGGATGTGTGTGAATCTGCATGCTTGCGCATATGTACAAATGATAATGCAAGTAAGTATGGATGTACGTATGTGTGCATGTATGTATGTTTGCTTGCTTGTTTGCTTGCTTGCTTGCATGCTTGCGTGCATGCTTGCGTGTGCTTGCTTATTTGCTTGCTTATTTGCTTGCTTATTTGATTGCTTGCTTGCTTGCTGGCCGGCCTGCTTGCTCGCTCGCTCGCTCGCTCGCTCGCTTGCTTGCTTGCAGGCAGGCCGACTTGCTGGCTGGCTGGCTGGCTCGTTGGTTCACACAACTGCAATGAATTTCCGAGTGCGCAAGCAAATAAGCAACTATAGACCTGTACTGCCACAATGTAGTACAACACTATTTGGTATGACACAACATACTATAGTCAACCAGACTGCACCGGATACCAGGCAGCTAAGCAAGTGTTTTATGTATACTGAAACACGAATATGAATATAGTAGCTCTTGTTGTTGTCATCCGTTATCATGCAGTTTCGTCATGGTTATCATCAACCCCTAAGGGCCCCACACTTTGTCTGGCCGCAGTCGCACTCGGCCACCGTGGAAGGAGCAGGTGGTGACGTTGTGCGTGACAGAAAGGACAGTCCCCTGCATCAAGTTTTCGGGTCGAGGCAGCTTAGGGTTTCTGAAAGCTTTAATACTAGTAATAATAATAACAATAATACTATTACTAGTAGCAATAATAAGAATCATAATCATAAAAGTTTCCCAAAACCCAGGGCCTCAAAGTCTCCTAGGAAGCAGCGGGGAGAGCGATCCCCGTTGATGCCGACCGCGTTGTTGAAGTGACCTCGAGCTCAACGAGATGCGATGGCGTTTTATCAGATTTTAGCACTCAGTGTTTCAAGCTGAGGGGCTAGGCTTTGGAGTTTAGGTTTAGCCGTTGGGATCTGTGATTCCGGGTTGGTGCCAGTTATGAAGATCTGCATTCTGAACTTTGCTCAAATCAGATGTTGAGGGCCCGACTGCCCACCAGATCGAGGATGGTGCACTCTTCACAGAACTTGTCGGCGCCTGCAGCGCCAGCAGACGCAAGACCCTACACTCGAACTTAAATCGCAGACTCGAGTTTGAACCTGAGGAAGGGCTCTTCTTACGTGGATCTCACAACGACCGAGCCCCGGGCTGATCCGGACTTCCGATGCGTCAAACAGGGTGGGCTCGGCCAGCACAGTCAAAGCCTCAGGGCTTTATGATGATCACCATCAATCAGAAATGCAGGCACAGCGGCAGGGGGAAGAAGCAACCAGGACCCTAAACTTCCGATTAAAACCCTAAATCAGCTTAGAGGTTCGACTTCAAGGGGTTTACGAAACCTGCAAGGCCCAAAACCCTCAGCTGTCTTCTTTGCCTTGGGACAAGACCAGGGGAGGCTCTGACCAATGGACGCCTCCGTTCAGCCTTGGCGCCAAGATTCGAAAGTTGGCGTTGGCCAGTTTTGGCTTTAGGATTGTGAGGTTGGGTTTAGGGTGTGAAGATGCGGCTCGGGATGTCAAGTTGAGGCTTTCGTGTATGGGGTTAGGTTTGGGGTCTACGGATTTCTTAGTGGCTTAGCTGACCACGACAGCCGGCACAACAGTTGACAAAACAAACGGAAAAGAGATGACTTCGAGACGTCGCGCCTGCGGTCATAAATTGCAGAATTCACTTTCTGCTCGTCCTCACGGATGATGGGCAAAACTCTGCAACATCCTGAAAACGGTTCATTCCGATTTGTCGCAATCGCCATGGCTTTGGGTACCTCGACGGAAACGATGCCTCAGAAAAAGCCCTTGGAGCCTGGGATGTGTATATATATAGAGAGAGAGAGAAAGAAACAAAGATCTGGAACCACACATTTTGCATGATTATTGACACTTATACAGACATGTGCGCACTCGTACGGACAACACGAGCTAAGACGCAAACCGAAAACTTCAGGCTTATTGCTCGGGCTTCAGAACTCATGACCGGGACAGCGGCGACACCCGAAGGTTGCAGCTCGACCTACCGGAGAGCCCGGTCCAAACTGAGATGGCCTCAGGAAAGAAGGCACTTGAAGGTTCAGGGGTGGCTCCAAGTAGGGTTTCAGATGCCTAAACCCGAAGTATGCACCTTGAACAAGCACCTTGTTAATACCCCAAGGTACACCTACCCATCAACCTTCATGCAATTCACCAAAAGAGGGAGCTGGAGCGGCTTCTGTGTGAGATAGTTGGGTTTCAGGCTTTTCGGGGTGTCGTTGCTGTAAGCGTGCAGGATCGAAAGGGCTGAGAGATGAAACACTGCAGACAAAGGGCATCAAGCCCACCAGTCTCAAGACTCAAGAGGGGTTCGGGTTCTAGTGCTTTGATTGAACCCTAAATCCTGAACCCTTTAGCCTAAATCATACATCCTAAACCAGAAATCCTTAACCCTAGACCCTGACAGCCTGTATCATTTGCAGAAGCACCCTGCTCTGCCTGCGGAAGCGGACAGGAGAGAAGGCCCTCGGCCTGCGCATCATCTTGTCAGCAGGGAGGTTCAGGGGCTGGTATATCGGAACGTAAGCATCGAGAAGTTTGTACATGAACATAGAGATGAGAACATATGCATATCTATGCATATGATCTGTGAGCATTTGGTGGTCGATTTCCTCACACATGTGTTTGCCCATGCGCTGAGTCTATTGCTTAAGTATGTGTCAGTCTGTGTGTGTGTGTGTTAGCTGTTTGAGTACGTGTGTATCTACATGGGCCTGGGCCTGAAGTAAGGCTCTTACGACTAGTTCCCCCAAGACTTCAAGGAATCCTCATATCACATGCGCACGCAGATGAGCAGCCGCAAAGATGACACATACAAATATAGAATGCACCCATCGTACACCTCAACAACGTGTGATGTGATAACAAGGCACACTCCAGAAGCCTCACCATAGTGGATCTGTGTGTATATGTACATGTACATCATATACAAGTCTACAGAATATGGAGAGACACATACACACATACATTCAGTAAAAACGCGTCAGGAGTTCGGACTTGAAATGCAAGCTCCACCGGATGCGTGGCCTCGTCGATGACGGTGCCCGCAGATGGGCTAACTGACGAGCCATTGAACACCACGTCATAGCCTCGGGGACACCCCAAACCTCAAACTTGAAGCCCCGAACTCTGCACCCGAAACCATGGCCGTAGAGCCAGATTATCCTCAACCAAGACTTAACACCTGCGGACTAAGTTGCCGGAGACACGAATCGTCTGAGACCGGAGCAGTCGTCCAGACGGCAGAGAGGCTGTGCATCTGGTCTCAGTTGGCCTCACCCAGAAGCTACACGGCATCCCGCACACAAGGATAAAGACCTTACTCAAATTGGTCAAAGAGCAGTATGCAAGTCAGTATTGTTTCAAGACATCTTAAGACGTCGTCTCGTGCTGGCAGGCCATGGAAACTGTGCGGACTCTACACAGGCGAGCCTGCCATCTTGATCTCTGCAGTCGAGCCGGTAGCTCCTTTTGCAGGTTGCTCGTGCTTGAAGCCAAACAGGTGCCGGAAAGACCAGTCCGGAGGAAGGTTCGCATGATTGCGTGTCCAGCTGTGAATTCTCGATCGGAATAAAAGGTGCAAACGGATGTAATTGAGAGAGCTGAGGATACACCACCAAAAAAATATTTAAAAACTAGACGGAAAGAAGTGTGAGAAGGGTGAAGAAGGGAGCAGCTGACCAAAGAGTGGAAGCACGGCAGGACCGCGTCCAACACATCCGGCTACAGGAGCTTCTCGAACAGAAGAGGATAGAGCGTCTAGGTGACTTTTGGTAGTTCTCCACATGCTCCCTTGCAACAGTTTTTGGCCAAGCCATCATCGCCCAACAGTAGCTTTCGAATGAACTCCGGGCATGCGTTCCCATCCACCAAATCCGGCGTACGAGAATAATATTGGCAATCCCGACGAAAACAGCGATGGCGATAAGAAACAAACTGCAAAGCAGGAAGTTCGAGCTTCGCAAGAGTCTCGGATCTTGCTGGTTAAGGTTCAGAAAGGGTGGAGTTTTATTTCGGTCCTTTTTTTTTTTTGGTCCTTTTCTTTTTCTGGCCCTCACGTCCTATTATTTACACACGATGCCGGCCGAATGTGTCGCCCCGCTGTGGTGCCGCGTCCCATTTTCCGCACAAGATGCTGGCTGCGTGTGTCTCCTGCTGTGGTGTGGTGTTCGCTGCTCGTTGGCGGCTGTCATTTAC